AAACATTTTTTAAAATTAAATATTTAAGAATTTTCTTTCAAGTGATTATAAATCCTCTTAACGTTATTCTTAAATCCTAATCACGAAATAATTTTTAGTTACCTGTATTGACTGTGAAACAAGTTACTTAAAAAAATTGGAATTGCATTAAAAATCAACAGAATAAGACAACCATTAAAGAAGTTTTCTTACAAATTGATGTGATACTTAAACACTAAGTATTAGTGTTAAAAAAAACTATTTTATTTTACAAGCACAAGTTTTAAAAGCAAAAAATGGAAAAGTGTCAAAATTTGTCAAAAACTAAAGTATTTGTTTCTTTCTACTGAGTTTTAATTCCATCCAAAGCTTTCAATAGACTCAAAAATAAGTAGTTAGCCATACATATTTTCAACCGTACGAGCACAAATTTTTTCACACCCATGAAGATACATATAAAATAAACATTTCAGTCTCCTACTTGTGACATAGATACATAAATAAAAAAGCTACTTTTTTTCTCACTGTTAAAAAAACTTTGTATGTATAGATTTTTCGTGGAATCGCTCCTATTATCTCTTCAGAGCATCATGTGCACTTGCGGCTCTGTAAAACGAGACTCTTTCTCTTTTCCTTTTGCGGGTGTCCCATAACCACAACTACGACTAACCGTTAACGCCCAGATTTTTTCAATGGCTCCGTCCCACCTGCTTTGCCATTAAGATTTAAACTTTTTTTCTTCAACATTCCAAGTAATTTTCTTTTCTAGTCTTTTTTCGGGGGAGATCGATGAAAGGCAAAATCAGTCGGTGAATCGAAAGTTGACTGAGTCGTAAAGGGAGCGGATGTCGACTGGATGCTCGAGTGACGTTATTACTTTATAGACAGCAGTTGGAAAAACGCGGACTAGAAAGTAGCACTTGATTGGTTCTGAGTTTTTTTTTTTTTTCGCTGTCGCGTTGACAGACAACAAAAGGATGAATCGTCATTTGGAATCGTACGAACGCGATCACGTGCAACGTTGGGTAAAAATCTGACGCCTTTGTGATCCAAAAAAGTAATGCGCTGTACAAAATAAGGCAGGTCTCGGATGATTTTTAAAGTCAGCACGGGTGGTGTTACCTTTCAGTGGACGATTCCAAGAACGATAAGCAAAACGGATATCAGGACTTTCGCTCGACTTTCTTGGTGACGATAATACCAACAATCGAAACTTGAAACTGCGTGTAAAACTAAGTATGCAATTTTGGTATTGCACTCCACAAGTATTCGCAGCTTGGCTTGAAACGTTTCTTTCCCTATTTCTTAATACGCATACATTTTTGACGAAACATATTTTGAAGGGGATTTGGAAGAAATAAGCAAAAGCAGAGAACACAATACTATTAAGTTTTTTTTTGCTTCTTCAGATTATGTATATATATTTTGCATGAATTATTAAAAATATTCATTAGGGCCATTTTTCAAAAAATTGTGCCTGTAAAAAATCATTTAGTTAACACAGGTTTTTATGAGAAACGGGTATACATTCAATTTCTTTCATACGCAACCAAATAATGTAGAGACTCGTTTCAAATAAAGTTTTTATTGTTCTTCACGTATTAGAGATAAGTATGGCATATTGAAAATCATAGCTTATAGATCATTCTCGAAAGTAATTTTAATGTCTATATTTAAACTTTAATTATTTTCTACTCCTTGGTTATTGAAGAATAGTGGAAACAGTATACGTCAACGTTTCCAGTGTTCACATACAAAAAATACCACAAAATAAATACATGGCACGTATTTATTGTTTCCTATGTGATTAAGTTGATTGGAATAATATTTAACAGCAATTCTATGCAATGATTTAGTTAATAGAGAAATTTTATGCAAGTGTTTTTCCTAGTTTTGTAAGTTGGCACCCCCCATTGACTCGTATGCTACACTTAGGATTAGGACTCTCTCTTACCTCTCTCCCCCCGGAGAGATACTCTCCATCAACCTCCTTTATACACATACATACAAGCAAAAGAAAAAGAAATTATCCATTTGATAAGAATATTCATACGTACAAAGCAAAAACATGCGTTTGCCACTCCTACACGTTTTTTTCTTGCAAAAAATTTACAAAACCCAACAAATCATCGGTCGAGTACGAAAAAAAACAAAAAAAAAACGTTATTTTCTTGATTGCAGGGCTAACGGTTCGTCGAACGGTTGCACGCCGAGTCCAACGACGTCCGTGGTAGCTTCTCCCCCGGGAATGGCCAACGGCAACGGCAGCATGACCAGCAGCAGCAGCAGCAACAGCAGCGCCAGCAGCAGCACCACCACAACGACAGGCGGAGGCGTTGGGGTTGGCAGCAATGGAGGCGGCGGTGGTGGGGGTGGGGCTCGAATGGCCGTGATCGGCGTGACTCGGAACGTTAAGCTGAGGCGCAGGGGCGCCTCGGGCTTTGGTTTCTCGCTCAGGGGTGGCCGAGAGTACGCGGCTGGGTTTTACGTGAGCGACGTCGTGCCCGGCGGCGAGGCCCACCGCAATGGGCTCAGGGTGAGTTTTTTGTGTCTCGAGCTGTAGTGTGAGTGAGCTTAGAGGGGGGGGGGGCATTTTTATTCTCTTTTCACGCGGATGTGGGTCTTTGAGAGAAAGATGGGAAGGGGGAGGGATTGATGAAGGAGAAAAGAAGAAGAGGGAAAAAAAGGGGGTGAAAGGTAAGAAGCTTTTGTGTGGTGGGTGTACGGGGATTGAAGTAGGTTGGAAAGGGCGCTTTCAAGGAGATAAGGGGTTGGAAAGAGGGTATAATTTTTTTTTTTTTTTTTTTCGTCTAAAGACGCTTTAAAAGTCAAGGGTGTATGTACTGCGGTATAAGCTCTTCATTTTCATGCTTTTTATAAGTCGACGGTGATTGTGCTTCATTTTTTTTTCCATTTGGTACCAGAAGACGTTACGAAGAAGTAAATCTGAACGTCCTTAAAATGCAGAGTTGAATCTTACTGGGTATCATAACGATGTTTTCAATCAATACTTACGCATCAAAATCGTCAACAATAAAAGTTTTTTTAAGTACTATTTATTATTCACTGGGATTTCATCTACAATAATTGATAAAATCTTAACATTTTGCCCTGAATTTTTTCTACAAGTAAAACTATAATTTCTGTAATATTTGAA